GTCCTCTCTTCTCGACCAGCCACCCCTCGCCCCCGCCCGCCGCCCTGCTTTCTATAACACCACGGTGTACGAACCGCCGCCGATAGCGCATGCCTGCCGCATCCGTCGCCCCCGCGCTCACCCGGTCAACACGGCTCACGAGTACGCGGACGCACGCAAGACATATCGACCGTGGTCGGATCCACGACAGGAGGATGGCGGGACGTAGGATGACGAGCGAACTTAGGCCGCGCAGAGTGTCCTCTGCCCGGCGTGCATTCGCTGGGTCCTGCTTCACCATGATAGGTACTGGACGGCCTAGCAAGGGCGCGAGGAGGTGCGAGGGTCGAGTGGAGGGCATATAAAACTAGGTGAGTGTTTTTTTTCAGTGCATCGTGCAGCGCCCCAGGGCACATGTATTCACCACCCGCGCATCCTCTTTCTCGCCCCGCCGTCTCGAGTCGTCCACGACAAGCGAACACGCTAACGGACGGCTTGCGCACCCAACCATGCACTCTCCGACGCCCTTCATGAGATAGATTCCTGCATCACGAGCCCTTTGAGAGCGAACGATGCGCGCAAGAGGCGGAGTGACTCGTCGCCAGTCTCACCTACCCCTCATCCTTGCCAGCTGCAACACGCTCCGATAGCGACCCTCTATCCTCTCAATGGCTCCCCCGCGAACGTCCAAGCGCAATGGCTCCCCCGCGAACGTCCAAGCGCAATGGTTCCCCCGCGAACGTCCAAGCGCAATGGCTCCCCGAGTCTGCCGTCAAGACCATCCTCGAGTACGAGGCGCGCGCAGAGGCCGCTCGCGACGAGGCCGACGCTCACTTTCACATTATCCAGCAGGCGAGCTCAATCACTAGCACCATCGAGATCCGCTCCGCTGACGCGCGTGTGAACGTTGCGCGCCTTGTCGTGGACGGTGGCAGCCACCTCGTCCTCCTCTAGCCTCCGCTTCCATCTTCTCAGTATTCTTCGAACATCGGATCGTCTGCCAACATTCAAATGAACCGGAGACCACAGTGCCGGTGCTCTGTCACCTGATGGCCGGCCAACGTCGCCATACTCGGTGTTGTCGATGTCGTCCATACAGGACAACTACGGTAACTCGCAGCACTATTCTCATCACGACGACTCACGTCCAGGCTCGAGTCACCCACAGTCAACAGGCCAGTCATTGACGCCGTCATCGTCGCGGCCGCTTAGGTTATCGCACCCCTACTCCATTGCCTGTAACCGTGCACCCGCCCCCATCAAACGCACTGGCTGCCATGCGCTCTCGCTCGCAACTCGATAACACGCATGCATGAGGCCTCGCCCATCGCCGCATCCACTCGCACTCTGGCCGCATCGACACGCTCAAGCATCAAAGAGACTGGGGAGCCGCGAAGACCTGCAGCGCAGCTCGGTCGCCTCCATCTCGGTACGCCGTACACGGAACGAGGAGCGAGGGTGAGCAGAGGCTGGGTGGCATACGTGCGAATGCGAAGCCGGTGAGTCTGCATGCATCTCGTTTATACATGTACCGACGAAGCGTGCGCTCGCATTGCGTCTGGGCAGCCTGGGTCCGTCCGCCTCTGTTCGGAACGTGGACGACGGCCTGTTTTCGACAGCGATACGCCACGTCTCACAACTGCCATCGCCCTGCGACCACAGAGCAGCCTCGTACGGCAGTTATAAACCACAGGTACGCGCTGGCAGCCCGACGCTGCTCTCACAAACACATCGCAGCATCGACGCTTCGACGCGATGCAGGGAAGATCCGAACGTCGCAAGAGACGACCTGCGCGGACACGAGCATCAAGGCCAAGACGTTCTGCGATGGCCCAGAGCCGACCTTCTGCGGCGCGAATGCATCAGGACCGTTACTTTGCCTGTGATGTATGGATCACGCCCACAGAGGAAGCCCGAGTCGTCGGGATGAACAGAGCATCAGGGCGAGAGCTCTCACGCCATTGTGAGTTCTCAGTTCACCCATGCAATAGATGCACATTCCCGTTGAGGTTCGAACGTGCGACGTTATGTCTCTCCCGCGGGCGGCCGCTCTTGACGTGTGGTGGGCGAAGCGGCTCCCATGTACGCGGCCTGGGCGATTTACGTTACGTCTCCATTTCTTATGGTGTTACAGAACTACTGTACATGTTGAATACACTGCATGGCGGTCCGGGTGTGATGGTCAGACACGTGAGATTGGGATGGATGTGGAAGGTACGGATCGCGATCCGTGAGTGGGGAGCGATGGCACAGCGCAGATCGAGAGGGGCGAGCACGTCGGATGACGAGACTGCATGTATCGCAGAAGTATACTCTGGCTGGCCGCCACATATTCATCCGTCACACAGGTCGTACTGTGCAGAATGCAGACTTGACTACGCTGGAACCGAAAGGCTTCTCATTGCCTGTAAGTAGTGATTGGGACAGCACCTGCCTAACATTTACAGTAGATATTCAATCGTTCCTCAACAGTATTCTTCTCTTATCCATGATACTGTATAAACAGTTTATACACATTCACTACATGTCACTTATAATCCAGAGGTACTGCATCCTGGATTGCCCATTATCGAAGTATTGTGAATTCTGCAAAATGGGCAACATTGAATGAATGAACATAGCATATTTGTATGTATATCATTTAGATATAGGGCTCTGCCCAATAAATCACAATGAAGACCTATTTTAAAAATTTTATGCCACTGCTTTAATGTGTTATTATGTAGTATAGTGCCCTTTGTATCTTTCTTTGTAACAATGCAAGCTGTGATTTGATTAATGATGGGACATTAGAACATGTGAACATAGATAGAAGCACTGAGAAATGATTTCAACTCACTGACCATAGATAATCAATGACTTAGTACTTCCGGTCGGTAAGATAACCGGTGCGTGGCAGAAGTGTTGAAGAGACACGATCGAGAACGAAAGGTCCGCGATCCGTATACGATCGTTATATTCGAGAGTTATGTTCGAAAAAGATGTGTCGGCAGGGCAAATCATACCAAAATATTTGAATCGAGTTTTGAGAGTCAATGTGAGAAGAATGGGACGTTATGGAACATGACAAAGCCAGTGACAGCAAATGTGCATCAGTGCGAGAAATGAAGGAGGTTAAGAAGTGTTA